ACCCTATAAACTTCAGTGGGATGACTTCCTCATTAAGATTGTACCATTACTCAGAAGTCAGAAAAAGATTTTTTTAAGAGCTTCAAGTGTTTACCAATGTCAGTAACTTGATTGCTAGTAGAAAGCCAGAGATACCCCTGTAACAGGAGCTTCAGAAATTACTTCTGCAGAAGTTCTGAAGCTAGATCTGCAAAATTAGTTATCCTCTAGAAATCCATCTACTGGCCAGTAAAAGTGCTGAAATATCAAGAGAGACATTCAGTGCCAAAGCTAAGAAATATAACATTGGAAAATATGGAGAGTAGTAATTATGTCTTTTAGTGGCATTATCAGTTAAAAAGGGCAGGTTTTTTCCCATTAAGATGCCTGTTTTTTACTCCCTATAGCATAAAATGTTTCCTATGTTCCCTGAGAGTATGTCCCTGAGAACAATATCTACAACAATTTGTGAAGACTCGTTCACCATTATATTTAAATTTTTTTTATTGAATCTCACAGAAGTTATGATGGGATGAAGATGATTTGATAAGTTGAACTGAATGATTTTTGGAGGAAGAGCATCCTCACCTTTGCTAAAGCTCTATTGCTTTTACAGTTGCAGTTATTCCTAGATTCTAAACCAACATTGCTGGAAATCAGGCTGATTCCTTCTTATCATTTTTTAAAAAAGTAGTAATTAAAATTTTTCATTTCACTGGTGACAGTTTTGTTACTCCAAATGTGTCATCACCTAAATGTGTAAATGATAATCGTGTCCTATGGACATCTCACATCCTATGGAGGAACTGAAAAAAAAAAAAAGGATTATTCATCTTACAGAGAGGTATTATGAGGACTGAATGGAATTATTAAAGAATAACAGGGAGTCAAGGGAAAAACTGTTCACCAGCCCTTTGTATATCATACATATAGTCTTACTGCAAGTCTGTGGACATTAATAATGCCTTAAGAAATTGGGAGCTTAAATCATCACTCATTGTTACATGTTGTGGAGGAAGCAACTCTTCTAACAGAGGGTGATACAGCTTTTAATTTAAAGTCATCCAGTAGAAAGGAAGACCTGATTGTTCCCAGCTTCAGAATCAAAAATTACTCAGCAGATGTATTTTATTTCCTTTTTCTTTCTCAAGAAAAGGGCCAATGATACCTACAGTTAAGACTACTGAGGAATCCTACTAGTTGTGCAAAATACTGACTGCTAGAAATTTCCCTCTGCCTTAGACAACCATAATCCCTTCCTCTTTCTCAAGCAGCTTTCACACCAACATCATCAGAAGCAGATCTCAGTAACCACGGAGCACTGAGCCACTGGTGATCCAGTCCATGCTGAAATAAACAATGCTGTCCACGCTGCACGAGCTGGAGGCAGAAGTGTGCTTCTCTTAAACAGCTCAGCACTATGGTCACTGAGAGGACTCTGCTCCAGAAGTCACACAGGAACGCCTCTGTGGCAGGGAACAAGAGAAGCCAGATATACTCTATTCAACAGAGAGGGTATTCAAGAGACTGGTCAGTGTAGGAACAGCAGAAGCCAAATCTTGTGGAATGTGACACTTACATGGGTGTGTTTGAAGAACTAAGTCCAAGGGATAATTTGTAATACAGGAGATATATTCCTCATTTCAAAGTGTGATATTTATATGATATAGAAGAGTGCACGTGTCAGTGACAGAATCAGAAGATTCCCTACAGCCTGCCTTATCTGAGCAAATATTCCTCCCCTTAAAATTTAGTGTGAAAATTATGAAGTCGACAAAAAATTTTGCATAAGATTTGAAGGTTTGATCCAACCTGAAGTTGCATCCTTTCCACTGGTTGTAGTGAATCACACAGGAGCTCCTCAGATTGATGGTTTAAAGGTTCATGAAAAGACACTAAAGCCTTTTCATTTAGATGATGCTCTGTAACTGAGACTCTTGGGCTATGACAGCTAATCACTAGGAGGCAATGAAAGCCTTTCCAGAAAATTTGGTTGAGGAAGTAGAAGATTAATCTCTACCAACTCAAAGGGCTAAGTACTTAAGGCTAGAGCAGAACAGCCCTTAGAGAGAAGAGTTTGTGGGCCCTCAGAATTTTCTTTTTCATAATGACTCTCTGTGCTTCTTGCATGCTATAAAAAAGATCCCCTTTTGCATTTCAGTATCTCTATTTCCTTTGATCTGTACACATTTCTCGTTGATGCTAATAGAGAATGACACTGATGGGGAATATTTTTGCAACAGGGGGAGCATAGAATTGTTATTCTGGCTAAAGCAAAAGCAATATGACTTAAGCAAAGTATTTAAAAGGCTTTACTCAAAGCTGTGCAATTGAACTTGGTATTAGGCTTTCTCTCTCACTTTTTTTTTTTTCATTGAGATTATGTCCATATTTTATCCAGGTTATTGTGTTCTTGTAAAATTATACTGCAACCCATTCTAGCACGTTAACAACAAAAGAAATTCTCTAGCTTATTATAAACATCTTTCAAGAAACCAAAAGCATATGTCCTCTGGAAATAATTTTGCTGGTATTTAGGCTATTACAAAAAAATTTCCCAAAACACTGGAATTATTTTGTAATGTTCCTTTACACTCTAGCTTGTTAGCTTAGGTTTTCTAGAATATTGTCCCAATGCCCCAATATAGTCTCTTCCTTGGGTTGCACAAGGAAGATGAAAAAGTAGCCCAGAAACTCAGCAATTTGTGCCTGTCTTTGCAGTAGTGATTATGTGGTACATGTGCCAACAGTGAAAAAAGACCTAGTGTAGACACCAGCTGTGCAATCATTACAGTTGGAAAGAAAAGGTTATTTTATCCTGCAGAGATTTGGCAGGATGATGATAATTTTTTTTGCCCCAAAGCAGATGGAAAATTTAAAATCTGAGAGTTTTTGAGAATTAAAATTGGGGAGAAAAGTTTACTAAAAATAAAAGTTTCATTTAGATGTGTTTGATATGTCTTTGTATTTTCTGTATTTTTTATCTTTCTGTAAACTTCTTTAATTTCAATTAGTTTCATTTTCCTCACTGAAAAAAAAAAGTAGTTTAACAGCAGAAAGTATGGATTCTTTTTTTCCTGAGAATTCAAAAACATAGACAACTCTGTTGTAAAAGGAGGCAAGAAGAACAGAATTGGGAAACTGCCCTGGGAGGTGCCCTGCTCAGCTTCTGAATGTGCCTTATAGACTGACTTTGGTTTTGTTTACTTTGTCCCTTAATGCACTTTATTGCTAGGTGAGTCCATATTTGTTGCATCACTTTTTAACTTAAAACTATTAACTCATGTCCATAGATTGTGAACTTTCTGGGGGCTGCTGCATCTCTCCAGGTGCACTCTGAGGTGAAATACAAAAGGGAAGAGAGCAACATACAGAAACAGCTGCCTGACTGAAGTCCAAAAGTGAGACATCAAAACAGAGTTTGCTGTCTGCATGCAGCGTGTGGATCCTCAGTTGTGCTGGGGGAGACAAAGCTGATTTTGTTGTTTGAAAAGGCTTTACTCCTGCTCACCTCCAAAGTGTTTGGACCTTGACTGGTGTTGGGTAGCAAGAAGGGAAGAGCAGCAGCTATTTGACAGCTATCCTTGGAATTAGTCCAGAAAGAAAAAGTATCTGGAAACAGATTTCCTTCAAGTTCAGCATGTGTTGAGGTGTTTTATTGACCTGCAGGAAGTATCTGAGTGCTTTAACTGGTGAGAGCTTTTCCTAAGAGAGCTGAAGACTGCCTGATTACTGATGTGCCTGGGCACTGGGATTTACTCCATGTGCATGGCAAAGGGTGGCTGTCACCCCTGGTGCCAAATGCTCTCATCTGTGTCTTTGTCCTCTTAGCATAGCTTTGGCTGCCACATGTCAACACAAGGCCTCTTTCAGGGAGTTTTAAAACTCTGCCTCTTCCTCTATCAAAGACTGACCTGTATAAGCAGAGTTTGGCCAAGGGGTGATCCCAGCAGGACCAGTAGAGGAACAACAAGCTCCTCTTATCCAAGCAGTAAAATTGCCTAAGATATTAGCTGAACTGTTCTCAAGTCACCTGGCTTTATGCCCAGGTATACATGGTTGTAAAAAGTAGAGGTTATTCACTGACAATTGGTGGGAAGGTTCCCAGTTCTAAGCCTCACCTGAAAGTGAAACCATCACATGGCATTTGAGTTATGCCAGTGGCGTAATTTTAGGATCCACCTTCACCTAATAAAGAAAGTTGGTCTCTCTGGGATCTCTCTACTGCCAGAGAAGGATGAAAGGATTCCCAAAAGGCAACTCAGAGTGGTAGTCTGAATTACCAGGAGCATCAGGCTCCAACTCTAGCTCATCTCTCTTTCTCTTGCCTACACAGAGAACAGAGCAGACCACAGCAGCTATAAGCATCTGAAGTGAGTTGGTATAAAACTCTGTCACTCTATTACAACTGGATGTCTTGTCCAGGCACTGCTTTCTTAAAAAACAGAGAAACATCTTACCATACATCTGATTTGTCTGGTGTGTATCTGTAAGGGTATATTTCAAACAGAAACTTGTACCCAAGAGAAACTGTTATATGAATGTTTTTTCCCTTAGTATGACCTATATATATATATATATATATATTCATCTTGTTCCTGCAATTCAAGTCATTTCTGACTTATACCAATGAAGTGCAGAATAAGGCTCCCCATTTCTCACTTGAGAAGTCTCAAAAGAAGTGTGAACAGTACAGTTATGATTCTGTCAGTAACTGGTATTTTTTTCCAAAACACCAGCTGCTAGAAGCACGTGACAATGAATAGCAGGTTTCATTTAAGGACAGGCCAAGTTTGTAGACACGAGAACCGTTAGAAAGCTGGAAAACATAATCCAGTGTAACATAATGCTCAAAATGAAAAGAACCAAGATAATTCATCACTTGAAAAATTATTACTTAAAAAATACCTGTATTTTTTTTAAGGCTATTTATAATATATTAACTTAGAGTTCTGGCAACATTACAACATTTGTATTGAGAGAGGAGTATACAGAAAATTATGACATTGAAAATCACTCACCAGGATCAATTTTCTTTGAGGTTTCAAGAGCTTGGGCTTCGGGAAATTATTGGCAATTGGAGCTACAAAAATAAATATTAAGGGATCATTTCACATTGTCATTTTTACTATATGTATCAGCAATCACACCATTCACTGTCATTTTTAGTATATGTATTAGCAACCTATAAATTACATATAAACAGAAAATTAGAAGCAAATGCATGTACTTATATATGAATTTAACCATATTTCAGGTATTTTACAAGGAAACATAATGAATGTTTTGAATTAGAAAAATTCATAAGATTAAAGAATCTGATATGCAAGACATGCTGTTTGTATGCAAACATTAGAGTAAGTATACCCTCTGGGAACTGATCATTTGAGACCTAACCCACAGTAATTCTTCAGGTCCTTTCCCTCTTCACTCCCACTGGCTTAACACTGGCAGCGTTGCTCAGAAAGTACACCCAAGAGTTTGTGAGATTGACCCCGGAGTTACAAACCCTCTTGGAAAATGAAGTCCCCAAGAGGCTGGTCTCTATCTGCTCTGTTTGCTTGACTTCTCAAGTGCACCACCAGTTTTAAAGAGTGCAATGTGCTGGCTTCCCTCACAATATCCCCAACAAGTAACTTCAACTTGCCTAACTTTAATCTTCTCTTTGAGCAGGGTGAATATTGCTGCAGAGATTCCTCTCTCCCCTATAGTTAGTAGGAGCTGAGACCTCCTGCTTGGACTCATTGAGTAGCATCTCAGAATGGCTAAAGCTGCAGGGAGGTGACAGCCTGTCCCACAGCAGCTACAGGGCATTTCTTTCCACCAAATGGAAGCAAGAACAGGCCACCTCACAGGCAGAGACAGTGGCAAAGAGCAGGATTCCTGATGTCCCACACTCTGCTGTCCCTCCATGGTTGTGCTCAGGATTTGAAATACCTCTGTGCCTCTATTTTCATACCTTTTGCTGGGATGGCTGGTGGCTGCTCCAGTTTCTCTTTCTCTTTCTCTTTCTTTTTCTTTACCTTCTTAGGCTGTAGAGGAGACATGCTTGTCACACTGGTAACTGTCTCACCAGAGCTGCAAAGCACAGGCCCAAAAGTGAGGGGAAAATGAAGGCAGTGGAGGGACAGAAAGTTTGTCCCTGTGAGTTCATGCAAACACATCACCTTCCACCTGTGGGAGTCCGTGCCCAACAACCTGGATTGTGATCTGGGTACATATTGAAAAACCTCTTATGGGGGTTGCAAATGCTCTGGGTTTTGCATCTTTTCAGCCCTATATTATGGTTGAGAAGCTCAAAGAGTCTCACTCATCCTGGCATAGAAAAAGAAAACTGTCAGGTTTAAATAAGTCGCATTTCATAGCACCTCTTCCTTAAAAGCATGTATGACCCCACTGCTGCACCTAGGATGAACTTCTGCCCACCTGCCAGTGAGGGTCAGAGGCTCAGACAGATTACAATAGTTGCATGAGCTCCCATGGGAAGTGTATGGAAAAGCAAAATCTTCAATGCAGATTCTGGGCTAAGGCTGGCTGAGGGACTAGGAGAGCACGCAGCATGTCTTCAGGCAGCTCAAAAACCACATCTGCAAAATCTGGCTTCTTCAAGGGGGCCAGTGTGCCCAGGGAATGTAAAACAAGAAGCTATGCTCCACTCTCTAACTCAGGCATTCCCCAGTACATCTGTGCTGAAAAGATGCCCTTAGCTATGAGGGAAGAATCCAAGTTATACTGTAAACAGACTCCTATATGCTGGACTTTTTACCCTTATCACCTCCCAGAGGCTGAGATCAAAACCCCTGCTTTGAATATTCAGGGCTCAGATATGCAGTCAGGTTGCAGAGGCTGTAACTGAGGTCACTGAGCTGTGGTAACTGACTCCCTGCTTGCAGCTGAAGGGGAATAACACTGTCCTGGCTTCAGTGATAATGGAAAAAACCTTCACTTACAGCTGGGGTGTGGGGACAGTATAAACCATTCAGTTATGATGACTGCAGTGATGGAGGTCACTTGGTAAGCAGTGGCTGCTCAGCTGCATCTGCCCCTGGGCTCACCCTGTAGCAGGTTAGGGCAGTGTGGTTGTGGGGATCTTTCTCTTCTGTGCTGTGAGTTCCACCACACCACAACCAGGGTCTCCACAGTCATAACACGGACACCACTTATTTCACTGAATTTTAAATCATTTCTCCCAAGCTCCTGTTCCTCTCCAGATTCTTTTGCATAATGAAACACGCTCTTTATATTAATAGAATAAAATATTCAGACTGGGCAAAAGACTTAATGAAAGTTAAGATGTCTCAGCTATTGCCCACACAAGAACAACAAAATTACAGACATTACCATTTTATGCAGTTGCAAATTCAAATGAATGTCACTACCACTGGTAAAATCACTCTGGATTTACACTTGTATGGATTGCAAAAGGACTCTGGATTGCTGGTTTTCCTGACTTCTGTTTCATGTACTCAGTCAAAAACATAGGTTTGCTGCCAAACTTTCTAAAAAGTGTTCAAAAAATAAAATATGTTCACAATGTACAAATAAATTGCATCTAATGTAAACTGAGGCGTGGATTGAAACAATTTCTAAGTCTGACTGCTCTGCTATGAACCTATCCCACAACAACCATTTGTTTCTATACCAAAATCAAGATGAAATGGTTTAACACCAGCAGAAAATGAAATTGTTATGCCTGGTTTCTTTGTACAAACAAAGAAAAAGTCTAGAAAAAAGACTACGAAAAAGGAGACAATAATGATTTTTTAAAATGTTTTTGGTTTTAATAATCCAAGGTCATTAAGGCAGATGTGTAGTTTAAGGATGCTGTTGTTATGACATAACTTCTTAAGCACAGTATATGAAAAAGCTCGGTGTCAATTCATTGCATTAGTTATTGTTCCTACTTTGCCAGGAAAAGTGAAGCTACAAAGAATTGTAGTTGAGACTTGCAGATTTCTTTTAAATGCCAGGGTCACACAGGGTTAACTAATTCTGGGAGATACAATAGCTATACTTGCTGTCTCAGAACTGAACTCCTCAAACCAAACAAGGAGGCTCAGAAAACACTCCTTGGACCTGAAACACTGCCTCTTTGTGAGCTTTCATGTTCTATGTCTAAAAGGAAAATTAGTTTTTTATCTCCAGCTCCTTCTTCAGCCCCTGGGCTTCTATTTCAGTGGTGTCATTTGGTGCATTTTTTGAAGGATCTAATGAGTGTTTAGAGTGCAAGATTAATATAGGTGTTTGGGGAAGTAACTTATGGAAGATGTGTAATAATTATAGAATGGGGCAGCAGTTGCCCTGAAGGTCACAGCTGTACCAACACCTACTGAATCTTGGCTTTGCTATCCTTATTAGAGTCTAGGATGTGGAACTTCCCGTTGCCATCTAAGTCAGCTATTTTCTCTTGTCAAAAGTCTGCAGGGAGTAACAAAAAATGCACCTGAGTGAACTGGGAGTTACTCAGGTATTTTTCAGACAGGAGAGCTGTGTGAAAAGGTGCCAGGGACAGCTGGATTCTTGTTTCTGGTTCTGTGTGGCAGAATGTGCTCCTGTAATGTGAGCCTGGCACTGTGGAACCAAGGTGTCAAGATGGACAGCTTTCTGAGGCAAACACTTTATTTACCTCCAATTACTTATCTCCAGAAGAGCAGTAACTGAAGGACTAGAGAGTTCAGGCCAACACAAATATAAAAGACCGAAAAAAATGTTCCTGCTTTCAAAGCTTCACCTCCTGGGGGTTTCTGGATCTGAAAACTGGCAAAATGATCCAATAACAAGGAAAATAATATGAAGAAGGCCATTTAAAGAAAATACCAGAAAATGGAATTAGGTGGTTTGGAAAACTAAAAATAACTGTACTATTTTATTTAGGTAGTTATTTTTAAAATGTGGTAAAGAAATGGGTTTTGGTCAACTCATGTTTTTTTCCTTAATTTGTTATTGGTCAAGTAGCAAACCAAAACCTAAACATTTGCTTTGTTATCCTCAGGAAATCTGGACTTAATTTTCTTTTCTACCACAGCCATTTTGTGAGACCTGGGGCAAATCACTTAGCCCGTTGTGCTTTAGATTCCAATTAAAAGCAAAAACATCATTCTCATGTCAAGACATAAAATATTTTAAGATGGTTAGGTATTACTGCAGTGGGAATACAGACATTTCTTAGACACCAGACTATTAATGTAATTTTGAAAGTGGATTCTACTCTGTGTTTGAAATATCACTAAGGGAGCTGGAGTTGAGCTTCTCTAATCAAGGCTGAATTTTGCACAGTAGTAATTTTAAATGACAAGAATCTCATGCAAATTAGTTAATCAGTTTGGCCTAATGGATATTTAGACAGTAGGTTTTGGGCCTAAATGTGTCAAATTAAGTTCCAAGACAAGGAATTTACAGGTGAAAAGCAATGAGTTTGAAGGAAGTGATGGTTTGTATTTTGAGCAGAGGATGGAAAATAAATGGTACCAAGTGTGAAACATAATTATGATGCTGGTAACACATTCATAGGTATTTAATTTTAAAGCCCCAAAGTCAATGCACTTTAGACATGCATTTGTGTGATCGAGGATTTCATTAGCATAACTTGTCACACTGAAATACATGAAATCATGTTTTTATCCATATAGAGTCATGCATTTCTTTCACTTCTAGAGACTCTGTTTTACGGTGAAGAAATCACCTTGGCTTGTTTGCTCTCTAAGTTCAGTGTTTGCAGCAGTATCACTGCTACATCTATTCCCAGAGAGCCAGAATTTGTTGAATAAATTCTTATCTGACTAACATGCTCAATTTTTCCAGTTGGATCTCATTTTTCTTCTCTTTTTATGTTCCCTACCAATATACTTTGATTTCCTCCCCTCCCCCATTCTTTTTTGTTGGTTTGTTTTTTGTAATTCCATCTTTGTCCCAGCAGTTAATAAAGAAGGGGGAAAGTGAAAACATGCAGGAAAAAACGAAAACTGCTGAGCTGTCTCTAAATTTTTGGGTGCTGCAATGGCTGGTCAAGGTCACAGAACAAAGATATGTCCATAAATAACGTGCAAGTTTTGGTTTGTACTGGCCTCTCCTGAACCCTGTGCTGCTTTGTTTTGATTTCACTTCTGAGTGCCAGTTAGATTGAATACAATGATAATCTCATGAGAATGCATAAAAATCACACTCTTGGAGGATCTAGAGTGTGCTGTACTTGGCATTTAATCCCACAGTGTTTAAAGAGACTTTGAGAAACAGTATGTGATACCAGAGGTATTGGATTTAAACTGCAAAGCTAAAAACACATGTTTTCTGTCACTGAAAACTGGGAAACAGCTGTGCTGTTATGAGGCATTCCTCTTTCATCTTTTTTGTTTGTAAAATATTTGTCATATATTTTTACTGCAGTTCCAGTCCAATATACATATCAGGAAAATCATACAATGGAAATCGGTTTTATAGCCACACCATAAAAAACTTTTGGCAGCTGATGGTATTTAAAGGGACAGTGATTAACACTGCAGCAGCAGAAGAATTCTTCCCATCACTTGGAGTCTTCAGCTGGGAACAGACTGTGAGCCTTGAAAATCTGTTTTTGAACTCCACTCTGTCCCCGGGTGTGGGAACCCCTGGGTCACATTGTGATTTGGTCTATGTGCATGGACAGTTTAAGTCATTACCATCCCATGAGGTGTTGGGGAACCCTGGAAACACACACATATTGAAAGCAGGCTTCTTCAGAAAGCAATTCAGAACATCAAGGAGAGGTTTGTCACTGGAACACCTGCAGGACCTACAGCTAGATTCTCCCAGGTAGATTCTCCCTTTTCATGCACAACAGGCACATTCAGGAGCCAGGGATCTGCAAATCTTCATGTTGCCATACGCATTTTGAAAACATTACTCCTATTCTTCACATAGAGCAAAACAAATAGCACACATAGCAAAACAAATCCAGAGCTGGTACCTTGGTACAGAACAAAGAGATGTGTAGTATCCTACCTGTTCTGGGGGCATTTCACCAGGTAATGCTTCACTGTTAAAGAAAAGAAAAAAAGAAAGAAAATGTGGCTTCATACCAACATAGTTTATGAGTTTCAAATGAGCACTGCAGAGAGACCTGTGCGGCTGAGAGGGTGGAGTTGCCAGGCTGTTACACTGGGAGAGCTGATGATAGTCACTATACATTGTATTGTGCTTTAAAATGCAGTATGACTTGAAGACATAGCTAGTCTCGGGAGAGGGGAATGTATGAAACAACACCAAAAATCTGCTGTGGAAATGCTGGGCAACACACATTCCAGTGGTCAGCCCAGCCAAAAGACAGCTTGCTAAGGAAAAGCACAGCAGGCCAGTAATTTTACTTTGAAGACTTTTATTTCCCTTGTGGTGCCTGTATTTATTTCCAGAAGCCTGAAATAAACTGCTCACCCACAGGAGGTATGGCTATTCCTAATGTAAGTCAGTTTGTGGCCACAGGCATAAAGAGATCCCTTCTGGGATTAGATCAGAGGTCCAGTCCAGCCACCATCCTGTCTCTGACAGCTGTGTGTGTGAGCTGTGTAAATCCTTCTTCATATTCCTTTGAGTCAGTAGTGCTGAGCAAGGGCAGCTGCCCCCACTGCAGCCTTTTAGGAGCCAGGGTTATTAAAATGCTCTTTTGTGGCTTTGTGGCTTCTATGCCTCTCTTAAAGGACAGACTCTGGCTCTTCTTGTCAACCTACTGCCAATTTATATCTCAGAAGGATGAGAGAGTGCATCCCTGGGTCATGATGTGAAGTTGAATGCAACACAGACATGCCCCTCCCTTCTCATTCTCTGCTCTTTAAAGGACCATGAAAAGCAGACACCAGGGCACTCACATGACTCTGCCCCTAGCTATAGGAAAGTTTTCATATTTGGACTTAGCTATACAGCTCCCAGGAAGTGAATTTTGGTCCTAATGAAATGGGTGCTGAGAGCACCAGGAGCTGGGACTAACACAGGGACAAGGTTTAGGCCAGTCAAGGCAGTGCTTCCATCTACTTGTCTGACCTTTTTAAAATGTATAGGAGGACAGTAGCCCAGTCCTTCAGGAGTAAGGGAATGCTCATGTATAGCACTGACACATTTTTGAGCATGCAAATATTCAGATATTTGGGTAGCAAACAAAGGTTTTAGCATCTCATAAGAACCTGCTTTTTCTCTATTGTAAATCCTTGTTCTACATTGTATATTAATATTTAGCTGCTGTTGGTTCAATGTAAAAAGACCTTTCCTTCAAGCTGCTTGTATGCTCACAGTAGTAGATTGACAAAACCAAGCAAATTCTAACCCAATGTCTGCTCAAGAAAAACTGGGATTCATCAGCCTAGCGCTTGTGGCTTCAGGGTGACTCACCATGACCAACATACTTAAGTGTGGGTACTCCCTTGGCACAAAACCTTTGTCATCACATAACAGGGTAAGAAGAATAACATCAATCTTGCTCCTTCCTCTTGGCAAGCAGAGTTGTTGGGTTCAGTTAGAATCAGAGTTACTCTGCTAAGTGCACAACCAGGAAGATGGAGCCACAGTCTGAAATGTGTTTGTGGTCAGGCAAGGGCTTCTCTATACATCTATTTCTGGCTTACATGTCCTCACTTGTGTATTTGAGTCACTCACTCCTTCGTGGGATCTCTGTAGGCTGCAGAGGCAGCAAATTCATTATTCTCTCCTGTCATTAACTGCAACTCACTAACCAAACTCTTCCTGAAAGTTTCTGTTCAGAGGTGGTCCTCACACTCTCCTCTGACATGGTGGCTGCTAAGCGTGCTGGTATCTCATCCTTGCAGCTTGTGTGAGGTCTCCAAATAAACCACTTTTAAACTGAGATGAAAGTACAGCCTGCACTGGTTACTCCACAGATCTGAAATAGCACTTCTGTTTACAATAACACTGCTTTGATGCAGCCTCTTTGAGAAACCCTCTCTGAGGCCAAGAATGACACAGTAACCCTTGATCTTGAAATATTATTATGGAAAGACAGATTTGAAAGTTGAAATGATGCTTTAGTTTCAGAAAATACTGCAAGTGAGATAGTGCTAATAAAAGCCCTCAAATTCCCAACAATATTGACAGCTACTCAAGAAAGGAGAATAAAATAGAACAGAGTTAAGATTGCTTGGAAACCCCTCTACACATTTAGAGAAACATGGCTCATGCAAAATTTTAGCTTCTGGTCAGAATGCAACTCAGTGATTTGGCACTTGGTCTCCTCTAAAAGAAGTTCCAACTACTTTCAATTTATGTTTGTGCAAAGGTAGAGAATTTTTGAAAAGTCCAAAGCAAATTTAGTTTTATTTCCTCTCTATTTAAAGGGAAGAAAATGCCTATGTTCTAATTTGGCTGGCAGAATTTTTCTCTTCCTACCAATTTTATTTAAAATTACAATCAAGGCAAGGAAATGTTTATTTTTCTTGCTTTCTCTGCACTCTCTTCTCCTCTCCCTCTGCCCCCCTTTTTGGCAAGGACTTTGCAGTCATCAAGAATGGTATTTCACTCACCTGTGGATCTCCTCTTGTTCAGAAGGGACTGACAGAGAATGACAAGTGTGAAAAGGAGGACACTGACGATTCCTATGGAGCACACAAACACTGCGTACACGTACAGATCTGAAACCCAAGCACAGATGATGGTCAGTGCTGCAGCTGATGCTTCATGATGATGGGACAGGAAAAAGTTACACCTACAAGATGTAAACAGACTCTGGTCCAATAGATTTAGGGTAACAGTTCAGAAGTAGTTTAACCCTCTTGAAACTTTCCTATAGTATTCTGCTCAGTTTGAAATTTGGTTGAAGTCTGCATAAATGCAAATAATCATAACTGCACTTAAGAGTTGTGACTTTCAGAAGCAAACAAAGGACTGGTTTGTGGTTTGGGGATTTTTTGAGCAACAACTCAAAACCCAAAAGGACTTCAGTTGAGTTATTTCCCAGCTCAAACAGCTGTACTTTTTTTTTTTTTTTTTGGTAACGAAAGGAAAAAACAAGCACTAAATCAAGAAAAGTGGCAGTGGGGAGAGTGCTGAGTGGCTGGGGAAGAAGGAAGAAAGTCTGCAATTGCTTCTTCTGCTGGCAGCACTGGCTTGAAATTTTTGTAAGATTATTTTTTTCTTTTGCAAACTACAGCCTTAGTCTCTCCTCGTGGCTTTAATTCAGGTGTTGTAACATATTTCCAGTGGTTATTTTCCCATTGCCCATAACAGATATACGAGAAACTGAATCTGGACTCTTCTATTCTCTTTTGTCCAGCACCTCTTGTATCTTGTGGGACCATTTCTCAGGCAAGGCTGGGTTTGCACAGGAACTAGCAAAGTTGGTCCTGATTTAGGGCACTTTAGTTGTCCTGTCCATTGGACTAAACTAACATCATGTATAAACACAGTAGCAGTTAGATGGATCTTTACCTCCAAAAAACTTCCAAGCTTCCTGATTTTTCTTGAAAGTGGGATGATCAGAAGATTTTGACGAAATCACTGAAAAAAACCAAACAAGGTATGACAAAAACTGAAAAATGTGTGACATAAAAAGTTTGAACCTCTTGAAGTAAATGTATTCTGCCTCAAACTTTAATGTCCCAGGATCTTGCTTTGTCTAATTGTCTTTTGATGAAACAGTTCGGAATTGTCACAGAATTGTCCTCTCTGTTTCAGAAGGATGGATGACTGTCCATATCATAACAGCTGTACAACCTAGAACCAAAATCCAAGTGCTCTAACTGCTGAAATGTTGTTCAAAACCCTCTCTGCTCTCCTCAGTCAGATTGTTTATGTATGCTGATATTTTTTATGACATCAGATTAGATGATGTCACTTAGGCCAATTCCATGACTTTTCTTTCTCTAGCAATCACTGCAATGAAATGGGAGTCTGATAATGTCCTCCAGATTGCCAGTGAGGTCTGAACCTCCAAGAGAGCTTAATGTGGCAAATCATTAGAGAACAAGTATCTTACTGGCAAAGGAATTCACTACTGAGTGCCCTGCAGGGATGTGAAGGGTGGGGCTAGATCAATGGCTATACAACTTTCAGGATTGATGAAATATTCTCTTCAGTTTCAATGGGAAGCTCATCCTGAATATTTTAACAAATTACTCATTTGTTACATGAAAGCATCACATGTGTAGATTTTTGGCAAGTATTTCAGGATAACTTCCCTGAGAAAAGGGCTTTTGTTCATTTTGGGAAAAAAATAATCTTGCATTCCTGTATCTTGCAACATTTTTACTGTTAGAAAATGCCACATGTAACTAAGAAGTCAGACTTTCTTCTGTGGTAAATTCTAATAAATAAGCTTCCCAACACGACAGATTGTTGTGATCATCTACTTGTTTTTGTTGTCCATGCCAATAGGATTATATTTGGACTGCCTAATGTTCTATGTTTGTCCTTCTACAAGTAGTCTCTTGGACTGTAAATCGTTTGGGACATGTATTGCTCTTCCTAAGAGATGTGCAGTATCATGAGGGATTGCCTGATTGTAAGTCATGGTTTTGGGGTTCTGAATACTGTTCTGAGAAGAATATTGATTACTTTGAGTTTTCTGATAGGAAGGGAGTAGAAGAACCATTTTTCTGATTTTTTTTCCTGATAAACTTGGGGTTTTGTGTATTCTCTACTATAATTAACTTGGTTTAGGCTGACATTGATGACACAAGCCCAGGAAGAGATGCCTTTAATGAGAATATGGGGGAAGGAGAAAAGGTTGACCTTATCATAGATATTGTGTGGCTGGATTAGGAGGCACTTCTTGGCAACAGTGGCATATGGATTTCTCTTGGTTTTACTAAAAAGATTTACGAACAATACCCTTCTCATAAATGCTATTGTATGTCTTGCATTCACATCACTGAAAGGGGCAAGCTTTCAAGAGTTCAAATTTCTGGTGGACCTTCTGAAAACACTAGAGTTGCTGTAGTTGACATGAGTGCAGGAACACAAAACTGTAACGACTCCATCTCTAAGGCTTCTTTTCCAAAGAAATGTATTTTGCCCCTAAAGTAGAAGCCAGATATGTTACTAAGATATAAATGTCATCATTACACCATAAGGAATTGTAGCCTGTAACTCAGTTGTTTTTCTGTAAGTCCAATATGTTTATTTGCACAAATTTATGTGTTGCGACAAAACGTGTTTGCAACTTATTAATGGCCTATGCAACTTTGCATAAGCAAACCTGCTAGCAAATAACAAAATCTGAATTTAAATTAATAGTAGTAGATACTACAGATCCAGCTGTCAACTTGCTTCAAGAGCAAGTTACATTTTGAAGAAGCAGAATTATCCTTTTCTTTTCCCCCTGGACATCTGCATCTTGCACAGTAACCTCCTCTTTCTGTATAAATAATTTTTTTTTTTTTAAAGGGACTGTTCTATTTCTGCCTCTGCTTGATGTGCAAAGTTTTAAGAAATTTGTCTGGCGCTTTAGTGTAAAGATACTATTTTGAATTTGGGCATAACTGCAGACACATTACTGGAACAAAATGTTAGGCAACACAGCAACTGTGACGTGGTGGAACACTGCTATATTATTTGATAAAGCACAAGCAGTACAACTTAAGTATCCAAATGCTTCAGGCAATTTGTATTGCTCCTTTTGTTGTATCCTGGGTCTAACTGTAATATAAGTAAATCCCTTTGCAATAAAAAGTGTAACTGATCACAATATAAAACACAAAATGCGTTTGGAATAAAATTTCCTTGAAAAGCCCAAGTGTTACTTTTGGGAAAACTGGAAACTAAATCAGTACTTGGAAAAGAGTTACCTTCCCTCTTAAGCACAGCAAGTACTGTACACTCAGGGTGCATTAGCCAAATGCTAGCAAAGGTGGTCGGTCCTTTGTTTCCAGTCAAGAGGCTTTAAGTGGTAAAACAGTTGCTATGACATTTAAAGATATACAGTATTTCAAATATCTTTTGGTATCTTTAATCTAGATTTAGAGTTAGAATAAATAGGCTTTTAAGGGTCCAGGGTGTTTGTGGTGTTTGCCTCATATCCCCACAGGGTGTCAAAAACTTTCTGCAGGCTGGCCAGCCTTCCTCCCTTGTCTCAGGTTTCCTGCTCTGCTTTGGGTCACTTGAAGTGGAGAGCAGCAATACAGCTGAGCAGACAGTGTGAAAATGATGAAATAATGAGGTCTCAAATCCCTATTCTGATTATATATTCATGACTCATACTAGAAATCTGGGGGAAAATATTATATAAGGACTGGACTGAACAATTATGGATTTCCTTTTTTTCAGTAATTTCATTGATCTGACCTCCATAGTTTAGCTCTGAAAAGTAATGAGAGGTTTCAGTGTTATAATTAGCAATATTCCAAGAAGCAATGAAAGCTGTGGAGTGTGTCTTTGTGAGGAGGAGTATGACAGGTGGGGTGACAATATGTTATATTGATTTTTCTTCTGCTGCCACTTACTTGGAACATGCCATTCCATCTCCAAGAACTCCTGATAAATCCGTATGTTTCTATTACAGGCATTTAGGAGCTTACATCATTGAGTGAATGAGAAAACACTCAACACTGCTTTCTGGTCTTATCTTTAAAGTTGTCCCTGTGAGAAACCAACTTTTCTTTTCATAGAGACACGAGCAGAGGGAGTAATTTGACAGCTAGCACTGATGCCACAGCTGCTAAGCAAAACCACCTCTTCAAAGGAGTCTGTTCTCAAAATCCAACTTCACCCATCTCTGAAAGTGGTGGCTTAAGAATTGAGCTCATGCATCCCAAAGAGATAGCTTGTCTTCAAGTTGGTTCAACTTCTTGCTGGGCATTTTATCCAGAGTTCAATACCAGCAGGCTGGCCATTGCTCTTCTAGCTCTGCTTTCTGACTGCAAGTGGTATAAACAATAGCACTGAAGTGATAGTAAAAGTGCTACTTACCAACTGGTGTTAGACTAGAACTAGGACCAAGGGAAACACTAAGAGAGAGGCAAAACGTAAGTTGAGTATTAGGTTTTCTTCTCCTATCCACAGATTACATTCAAAAATAATCTAAATTCAAATGGCTTATGGGTGAATTTACAAGAAAAAATGGGAATCACAGGACAAGAAGAAATTATAGACTTGAAATCAGTAATCTCTCACCTCTTATTTCAGTAGCTGCTGTACCATTTGACCATGCTGTCCACTTATTTCTGTGTTTGCCAATTTCCTGCACTTTGCATATATAATGTCCTTGATCTGTTTGCTGGAGGCTTAAAATAAGAAATTTGTACATAGTTCCATGTTTCTCTTTAAGAAGATGCAGTCTTTGCTTGTGAAAATGATGAGTATAATTTCCATAATACTGGACAGACCCAAACTTTGTCATTTTGATCATCAGATGCTCCCGGGTAGGTGATGCAGCGAAGACCCACCGCACAGCCAGCAAATTGTCTGTCTTTCTCTTTTGAGAAACGTGGCAGTAAAGGGTAGCATTATCCCCCTCCGAGTATTGCACTGTTGGTCCAGGAGAGACTGTCACATTTAGAGCCTCACAAACATCTGTAAGGAAAGAAAAACTGGTGAGAATCCTCCATACTGGCACAACAGCGCCATAATCTGTCCCAGCATGCAAGCCCAGAGCAGGTAAAACGACGGCATCTGTTTAGTGTGCGGTAATTTAATGACCCTGTAGAACCTGACATCATCTGCCTCTCTGTGAATGTTAAGGATGGCGTGGGGCCCTCCTCCAGTGAGTCTGTCCTAGCATTTTTTCTGTCACTAACCAATAACCTAGAGATGACATGGAGACCTTGTCACAGGACCGACTTCACGTAAACTTTTATTGGCCTTTTACAGTTTTGGAAACTGTTTCATGACCAGGTCTTCTGACAGCTTGCATCTTTCTTAGGACTTCCAGGCTAAATGCTTTCAATAACCAGTTTATACTCATTTGTTTCTGTGCCAGCTTTAAGCTTAAAATAGCATTTTCTTCTCTAGAGCTTACTTCCTGACTCCATATACAGAGCAATTATCTGGCCTCAGCCTTTGCTTTGTTGAGCTAAAGAAGACAAGCTCTGTTAGTCTCCTCTAGTAAAGTAGTGTCTTCCCTATTCACCCTAACAGCCCTTCTCTGCATTGGTTGTAGTTTAAATTTTGGGGTTGATTGTAATTAATTTTTTTTTTTTTTAATGTAATTGACTGCAGTTACAGGCAGTGTCTGGAAAGAAGTTCTCCATTGTCCTGTGGAATACTCGAGTACTTCTCAGATTTGACTGGGACATACCTTGCCTGGTATATCCCAGAATTATCTTGTCCTTTTTCATATGCGATTTTATGTCGGTGACAAATAAATAGCATAATTGGGTTTTTTCCCTTCTTTGTCATTTGCAGTTCAGTCACCAGCATATCAAAGAAATTCTTACTAATCCCCAAGTATGTGACTTTGCTGTACTAACTTCTGCTCCACTTCTGTTACCCCATCCTCAGTTTTTCCTATGTGCTGTCCTCTTCTTATGTTGATTTGATAAGGTCAGCATTTCAATGTGCATGCTTCTGTCTACTTCTTTTAGACATCATTTGTGCAGACCTTAAATCATACTGTTCCCTAGATTATCACTGCAAGACCACTGAATTTTCTATAGTCTACAGTTCCTCATGTCCTCTGTTTTAAGTAATGTTCTCCTTGTCATAATCAAATGGTCATCTCAAACCTGGGTTAAATTCAGACTAGTTTTTCTACAAATTCAAGTTCATCTGACAGTATTTGCATGGCAAAATATGGCATTAGATCATATTGGGACAAATTGTTATTCCATTGTTCCATTAATTTATGATTCTTTTCTAAAATGTTCTTCATCCTAAACCATCACTTACACCAGTTCTTTGTCTCTCTTGCTTTACTTCTAAAAATAGCAGTATAGGTGAAGGCTGAAAAAAGTGTCCAGAGCTGTCTAATAGAGGAAGATTTCCCTTTCCTGACCTAACTGATTTACACTGGACTGATTTTCTGATGCATGGGAATCAACACTCATTTTATTTCCTTCCAAATGCACATTAAGAAAGTCGTGATTAGTCATATCAGAGAGTGATCTATTTCTGACCAATGCTGTACTGTGGCAATGTGCTCCCTAAATGATTTGTGATGTGTAACCCACCGGTGTGAGGGCATCCACTAGGCAGACAACCACATTCCAGCAGTGAGCAGGCACTCCTTGCAATGCACTCTGCAAAGCATGAAATGTCCTCTAAACTGTGAACTTCCTGTTATGTGAACACTGTACTGTACTCAAATACTAATGAGAATTGCAACTCTGGGAGGATGATTTTTTCATTTCTGGACACTTTTCTAGCACATCAGCAAGGAATATTTTAACAAAGTGGATGAGTGTTTTGGCAGAGGCTATTGTCTGACATCAGCTCCTGAAAGACAAACATATATTTATCTTCAAAATAAGTAAGTAAAGTATTTCCATTCTATTTCTGAAGGAGTTTTGGAGACAAAGACACTGGTTTTATAGTCCCAGTGAAGCAGTGAAATGAAACAGTGAATTGTACCACCTTACTTACAGTAAATCCACTAAATTAAAGAAGTTGCATTGCAACTGTTTGAGAAGAATTCTGAAAATGAATAGTATGATCATTATTTTGTGCCACTTCCATCAAAGTCCCTATTGAATGGCATCTTTATTCCAAGTAGACATTATTTTTTTGTTATGAAGGAGAAAATATTTTGTATAAAGAACAGTTCGGTTTTGGGTTTTTTTTAATTTTTGAAGATACTACAGCTAAGCATGGATGAGGTTATTGGTAAAATTATTTGTGCATGATGTTTGTGTCTGCAATTCATGTGAATGCCAAAATAAGAGGTAATTTTGGATTGTAGAAAGCATAAAAGTGGAACAGGATGTTGAAATTTAAAATTAAGCCTGAATCCCACCAAAAGGTTTCCAGGAATGAAATTTCAGTTATTACTCTCTGGACTTACCAGCCTTGGTGCTTTACCAGCAGAAGGGAAGCCAGTAACTGGCTGTCTCTGCTAGGAAAATAAGATTATTTGAAGTCTGTGCTGTTTAGTAAATAAGAAATATCTTTGAGATTTTCAACACTTTTTGGTGTCCTCAAATGTACTTTGTCAATAAATGTTTAATAAATCATTTACAAAATTATGGTTTGGAAAAATGAGAAACACAGACCTTTTTTCTACTGAAATTATGAACATGTCATGAGAACTGTAAAGAAAAACAATTATGTCATTTTCCTGACATGTGAATTTCGTTTTTGAAAAAGCTGGCTAGGAGCAATTGTGAAACAGAGTCCCAAAATAAAAGGCCAAAAAAAAAAAAAAATCATTGCTTAATTCCAAACTAGGCAGAACATAGTGCCAAGAAGTACCCAAGAGAAAATGCAGAGGAAGTCAGATATGGGGATGATGGATGCCTCTGTGAGAAGATAAAGCAGCATTGTACATGGAGATTCTGATCCCTTTCTAGCTGTTTACACTCATACAAACATTGGTATTTTATACCTAATGCTTCTACTTTTCTTATGGGGACATGCCTTTTTATAGGGACATACCAAATTTTGCATCCTTCATGTTTCTGATCAGCGGGAACCTATCTCCTTATCTTCCTTCTCTGGCTCCCATTGGTGCTGCTGCACAAGTGCAGCACTGGGGAGAGTTTTGGATCTCATGGTGCTTTTATCATGGTATCAGCACCGGTTGAACAGGGTCGGGTGATACTTTTATATAAAGCAGAAAAACAATATCCATTTTACTTTAGCAGGCACTGGTCAGCCCCAGCATGAGGTTAGCCCTTGTAATGGGCTTCCTGTCAAGAGCAGGAAACTTCACAACTTAAGAGCAGACTTGTGTGCCAACATAGCACTGAATTTCTAGACTTCAGATCACTGTTTCAAGTGAGGAATCACTGTTTATCTTCTGCCTTCCCAGTACAGTACGATGCAGCCATTCAGGTGGAGCTCACCACAAGAGTTTGTCTTGTTTCTGCTTGGAAAGGGAAATTATTTATAGAATGGGGGGAGGAGAGAGAGAGAGAGTTGGTGATTTCTTTGCAATGTGCTTAACCATCAAACTTCTCTCCTTTTTGCAATGAGCTTGTTTAGTTGTTCCCATCCCAACATTTCAGCTGCTTGCTTCTCTGGTATGTCCCACCAGCATGCCTCAGTAGCCTGTGGGGACTCAGGAAAGGTGACTGCTGCCTAAGCTCTGTTTTCAAAAATCCCACTTTGAAAATAGTTTACTTTGGCTTACACCAGCACAAGTCCAAGAATTAGTTAGATTTTGACTTTGCCATCTGCCGTATTACACAGCAAAACACTTTAACAGCACTGTCAGGAGTACCAAAGTATACTTCTAGCACCAGAAACTTGTTTATGCTAGGGCCTCTCCCGTGTCTGTGCTGGAACAGTGCCAGAGGACGTACAGTGGCCGCTGGTCCTTACATGTGGTGAGCAGTTTCAGCGTGGCTGTGGATTTGTGGGAGAGCCCCAGTTACTTCAGCTGAGATGGGAGTGGAACTGTTCCTGCGCACAGCTGCTCCCAGCCCAGGTTTAGTGCTGTATACAGACCTCTCTTTCTTCCTCCATGGAGACGATGGCAGAATCTACAACCCAGCCTTGAGTGCTGCAAGGACTGACAGCTGGGGGACTGGAGGTGGTTACCTTCTGATCTCAGCTTTGCATGACCAGAAGCATATGCGGTGGCTTTTATCTGTGTTGTAGTTTGTTCAGTGAAGCTATGCTACTGTCAAAGCTCGCTTTCATTTGATTTCCTTACAATTAAAAAGAGCAGATGACCCAAGAAGCAGCGAAACTCTTTGTTTAAATGAAAATAATTAGGAGCTGGCTAGCAAGAGCACCAAAAAACAACCAGCCATTTTCAGTTGAACAGATCTGTCATCAAGTTCCACAAGTCAGAAGCTCCCCCTCAGAGAAAGCCTCTGCATTGACTATAGATGGACTTGAACCAAACCTCTGCCCCTACCATCTCATGCCTTTCTGCAGTGGAATTCAAACTGAAGCCTCGAATGAGAAAGGCTTCCCCACCCCTCTAAGCTCACTGCACCTGGAAGTTCAGATCCAGACTCTGTGTCTGTTTTGCAGCTTCAGGACACACAACGCTCTCCAATACAATACACCTTTGTTTTCAGAGGCATAAAGGGTCTTAAAGGGAGGACGCTTTTTACAAGTGACCTACAGGTTCCATTTCCACCTGATGCCAACGGGATCAGGGCACCTGTGGAAAGAACAACGCCGAATCTCCCTTTGCTTCGGCTTTGCCTGGCATAGAAGATAGCCGAGGACCCACTTCCATGAACTCGCGTGGAGAGGACTTTCTTTTCTGAAGGGGATCCGATCGCTGCGAAGAAGCGCTGCTGCCGGGAGCCCGGGGGAGCGGCAGGGAGCGGGGTAGGGGCGGGCGGGGGCTCCGCTGCCGGGGAGCACCGGGGAGCCCCCCGGCTCTGGCACACCGCGGGACCCGGGCCCGGGGGAGCCCCGGGGAGCCTCAGCTCTGGCCCGCCGCGGGACCCGGGCACGGGGGAGCCCCGGGGAGCCCCGGCTCTGGCCCGCCGCGGGACCCGGGCCCGCTCCGCGGCTCCGGGCGGGGGCGGCCGGGCCGGGGTCCCGCCGGGCCGAGGGCCGAGGGCAGGGCTCGGGGCCCGCCGGGCGCTTACCTGGGGCCGAGGCCGCGGCCAGCAGGGCGGCCAGCGCCGTAGCCAGGAGGCGCATGGCCCGCGGGGCGCCGGGTCCGTCCCGTCCCCCTCTGCCGAGCTGCCTCCCTGCTCTCCTCCCCGGCCTCTCGCCTCCTCCCCGCCCGGTCCTCCCTTCTCCCCTTGCTTTTCATCTCCTCCCCTTTCTCCTCCTTTTTTCCTTTTTTTTTTTTTTTTTTTTTTTTTATTCCCGCTTTCTTCCTTTCCTCCCTACTTTGCGCTTCCCAGCGTCCTGTCCCCATTCAACTCTCTGCTTTTTCTCGCCCCCTTTCCCTGTCTGTTTCTGTGCACACCATGCCTGTAGGGCGGCATTAGGGCTAGACAGGCATCTCTAGCCTCCGCGATCCTCTCTGCACACCCACACCCCCACACACCCCTTGCCCGAAGGACACGGATCTGTGTCGAGGGGAAATGAGAAACTCCCTCCCTCCCTCCCTGAGCACAGAACACCGCTGTTGGAGCAGGTGAGGCAGCTGGAGGCTGTGGGTTAGATTGCTGGCATGGGGAAGGCTATATTAGGCATCCTCTCAGGTTTCCTGGATGTGTTGGCAATTTTACAGGCCCTCATGCCCATTCCACTCATCCCATTCCCATAGCGGAACAGGACCACCACTCCCTGGCAGTTCTAGTTAACATTATCTCCCATTCTGTGGGTTCAGGTGGTGGCAGCCTGGGGACGAGGAAGCGTAGCAGGCAGGAGTAGCCCATCTGCAGGTATGGGGATGAACGCTGTAGGCATTTAGGACACCTGTGCCAGGACATTGCATTCTGTGCTCTGGTGTTTGCCCCCTGCTGTGACAGCACCTACAGACCAATGACAATCAACCTAAAACCATCCTTGATTAATTGATATATTAGCTTAAGGTTCATCACCCTAAGATTAATGTTCTTGTTTTCACAAATGGTACTACAGTGCTATGCCAGAACGAACAAGGGAAGTTGGCACCTTGCAGTCCATTCCTGCCTTTCTCCTGTGCTCCTTTTGAAGCGTTTATCTCTTGAAAGCCTACAAATCTCCCCAGATATGGATTTAATACTTCTGCCAGCAGGTATGATGGGTTATATATTCAGGTTGCATGAAGTGTGGATGATACAAACACATTGGCATTCCTGCTTCCCTCGATAGGGCAATTAGTATGAATTTAGCTACTCCACCCCTCTCCTAGTAATCACTTAGACAGGATAATACATGTCTGCTCTTAAACATCACAGATAATTTAGCGTGTGCTAAATCTGATCCTTATGAGATTGAAAACTGCCTTTAAAATCTTGTAATTTGTTTCCTCTAGGGAGAGACTTTGGTGTCCATACAGCAAACACTTCTGACAAGAGAGTGACAGGTCTGGATTATGCACAGAGCAATCATCAGACTTGAGGAAGCAGAAGCAGTTTTTAAAATTTATACTGCCTGGGGAGGTAATTAAAATTTGTAGGTTCAAATCTACTCTTTTAACAGCAAAAGGAAATCCTATCAATAAGCTAATTCAAAAACAAATTGACAAATTCACCAGAAACATTCTAACAGCAGTTACATAGTTTGATGATCCTGATGGAAACTCCATTTCAGAATATCCTTGGACTGCTAATAGAGAGGAAACCAGGGATGACTGATTTTGCATATCCTTCCAAAACATCTACTCCTTGCCATTGCTTGAGAGAAGATACTAGGTTGGATGGACATCTTAAGCCTTCTCATATAGTTCTGCTAGGCTTGTTCAAGCCTCACTTCATGTCTCTCATAAATTACTTCAGCCTACTAATCTTTTAATGGTGTGTACAAAATACTGGTGTAAAGACATCAATAAGGACTGCCTAAGGTCTCAGGTGAGTGGTTGGGCCCTACAGAGCTGAAAGATGCCCTGCAAGTGTCGGTATCAATTTTTGTTGTTTGTCAACAATCTCCATTCCTGCTTGCACCACCAGTTCCTTCAATTGCATTGAGAGCCCTAACAAGTTTTGGGGCAGAACTAAGTTATTTAACTGGGGAGAAGGCTTTATAGCATGTATTTGCTTAAAATAGAAGACAGAGGAGGAGTCAAAGGCACATCTGGACTTCTGAAAGTCTGACAGTTTACTGAAAGCATACTCCTGTTTTGAGCACGTGATCTCTGTACTTTTGACAGATCCCTCTGTGTTGTGGGTTCTCTTTTGTGTAGAATTTGTGTAGAATTTTGTGTAGAATTGCTTTTATAGCTCCATCTTGAAAGTTCTTCAACATAAAAAGTGATTCTTACTCTTAAAGGTATATTTATTCTAAAGTTTCAAAGGTACTTTTGAAAGTGGTCTAGGCTGAAAGTCTTTTTTACTTGTCATAGCATAAATTAGCTCAGGTGATGCTGCCCTTTTAGGTTTTTTGCTAAGGGAGAGCTTTTCTTTGCACAGCTAGAACAGGACTTATAGATCTATGTACACGTCTCTCTCTTGCTATCTCTAGATAGTACTGCCAGCAGCACTCATCAGGTAACCCAGCACCTAACACACCTGAGGAAGTCTGCATTGTGCCAATCCCTTAGGATATACTCATGTGGCATACAGCATTAGTCGGGCTAGTGAGATGTGGACAAACATAAACTTCTGACCTCCCATCTTCCCGGGTTTGATGTTGATTTGTTGGATGACTTTTTACAAATTGGTTCTCACCTCTGGGCTGCAGGTGGGTGAGATGCAACCTTCCTTTTTCTCTCTGTTGGAAGGGTTTGCTATTGGAACTGAGGCAACCAGGAAAGGTGGCAGTTGTATGATTTGACTTTCCTTACTGTTAAAATCTTACATCTCTTCCACCCATTTGTTGCTGCTGAAATGTTTCTGCTTTTGTAAAATGTTTTTTCAAGGTTTTTTATGTCTCTTACCTGATGCCATCACAGTTTACCCATGCACCACAAATCCCAAAGGCCAAATGAACACGCAGTACAATTCCCTTTTTCTCCCCCAGGCTGTGTGCACAGCTCTGTTTGTAAGACAGTGCGCCTCCCTTTGCTGCTCTGGAAGTGTGCTGACGCACACGAGTGGAGCCTCTGACCCGCAGGATATGGCTTTCTCAGCTCTGGCAGCACGTATGTGGCCTGGTTTCCTGCTGAATGGGCCTGCTCCGAGGAGAAAAGTGCCTAATCAGCACTCCAGTGCAGCTGACACAGCGCAGACTGACTGTTTGCAGAGCCTGGAGCCCCTCTCTCCCTGGGGCACTGTTACTGAAATATCAGCTTTAGTCACTCGGGGTGAGACCTGCTGTACAAATCCCCTTTGCCTCTCTGCAAAGTCACATCTGTCAGCAGAGGTAACCACAGCCTCGGCTTTTGCTGTCCTGTCCTCTCTCTCTAGCTGTTCTTGACCTGCCTTCTTTCTTTGAAAGGTCTTACTTGCAATCCCACGTCTGTCTCCAGAACGTGCTGCAGGATTTCTGCAAGCAGGATCGTGCCTTGCCCTGACAGTAGTGTTGCAGTGTGGCAGGGGGACACAGTGGTATCCACTGCAACTCACACTGGGCTGCTTTGGCTGAGCTCTAGCATGGTTAAAAGGTTTTCTTAGGGCTGCAGCTCCCACCTTGTGTTCATGGGTTAGGGTGGGCTGCCTGCTTTCACACCGATGTGCTGTTAAGGAGAGCTATGCTTGTTCTGAGTGATGTATGGGCGATTGCTCCCCACCTGCAGCAATAAACTGTCTCTTTGAACTTTTCATCTTTCACCTGGCCATCATCTTTCAGGGCAACTACAGCTTATCACCCTTCCACACCTCACGTACATGCAAAGAAGCTCTCTGCCTGTCTGGAACCTACCTTCATAGGCATGGTTATGGCCAGGTCTCTTTCAGAATCCAGCAGCTGGTAGCTCCCATTGCCCAAGGAATCCTAATTAAAAATGAATGTTCAGTGATTAAAGATTGATAAAATAAAAAACCAATTCAATGTTGCCATGCATGGAGGGTGTTTGGATCTGTATCCAAACTTTCCTATTCCTTTAATGGGCCAAGTTACCTTTGAACTGTAGCAATCCAGAACTTCTGAGCAACATGGTTTTGCCCATGGTATTTTTCTACGGCTATTTGGTGGACCAGCATGTGGAAAATACAGTTTTGTGAACCCAGTTCTTTGTGAACAGAAAAAACACTATGTAAGAGCTTCCAATTTGTAAGAATCATGCTTTTTATGTCTGTGAACATCATGCAATGTTTACACAGTGTTTGGGGTTTTCATAATATTTTTCTTGTGGCCATTTATTTCTGAGTGATTGAAAAATATCTAAAATTGGGTGATTTTGTTAACTGCAGATTTCCTTTCCCCCTGTGTAAAGTGTCCTTCTTCCATTCTCTTTTCCTTTTTTCTTTCGGTATTATGAATGAATGATACTGATATATCTGGGTAGGATCTGAGGTTTTGTGGCTGTTGTGCAGCCACTTTTATGGAGAAGTGAAATTCTTACTATTGATGCTATAATGTAGTTTTCATTTTCTCTTTCTTCAAATAAGAGCACATTTTGTTTTGGTACAGGAAACTTGCATCTGTTATTATTTTTATTATTATGTTTGGGACTGCACAAAAACACAGGGGATTTAGTATGTTTTTCTTAGCTTTTGCTTCAAGTTTGATCATTCCAATTTTCAGGGCACTGCTAATCCTGAGAATAAATTAGACCTGTGGGTGTTTTGCAAGAGTGTTTAGAGACTCTGTCATGTGTACTTCCTGCATAGTTAGGTGTGTGCAAGAGTTGTCGCGTACAAAGACACAGTTCCAGCTTCATATAGTCAAATATAGCAGCATCAACTTCATAGAGTGGCAGTGTCATTTGGGAGCCATTAAAAAGTCCATTGCTGCTCCAGTTCTATTCTCCAAAAATACTAAAATGTCAATTTAAGGTGTCCTTATTTCTGGCAGTCAGTGGGCAAATGTCATGCTAAGATGGATTTCAAGGGCTTTTCAGTGCATTGGTATGTTCTGGCCATGCATTCTCCTTAGGCACCTGTCCCAGGTAAAACATTACTGCCAGGACTTCAAGCTAGTCCCTGTGAGACTGCTGATTCCCCTCTGCCCAGCTCACAGAGAGCACAGGCACCAGAACCACACAGTCAGTGACAATGCACTGTGCTATAACCTGTTCTGCCTTGCCTTTCTCCCC